AATAATAATTTAAATAGTTTGACATTATGACTTTAACAGTGTAAAGTTGTTCGCACAAGGATATCTGTATTAGTTGTAAACTGAAACCTATACGTAAACTTATATCCACGCATAAGCAAAATTATAACATGATGTAAGTTTATATGTACAGGCTTCAGTTTACAATTCAATACTTAACATAACGCGTTTTTACGCAGAAGCCTAAGAAGTATCGATGACTTCTTGAATATCGCATATGAATACCAATTAAATCTTATTTTGAATTCAATGCTACGGTCAAAGAAGATGCTTTGCAATGTTAATTTTATATTTTTATATCGTTATCTAATAGATGATATTAAAATTGTATTTATATGACTTTCGTATTTAACTAATAAAGTTAGGCTTTAAATATATTTATTAAATCACGTATTATGTTTACCACAGAGTTGTATGTTCTCTTTATACAATTATAATTATATTATAACATTTGACAAGTATTTGAAATTATAAAAAGTCAGTTGTATGAAATTAATAATTAATTTTCTATTTTATGCGACAAAATAAGTTGCATTAATTGGCATATTTAAACAAATAAATTTTTCGGTTACACATGTGAATATTTCTTTTACCATGCCTTCTAAATTTTTATGTTATTATAAGAAAAGTTATTTTGATACTATAATAATTTTTATCGGGAAATGTCTGTCTGGAATATTTCCTTGTATCGTTTTTTATGTACGTAAAATTGTTCAGCTGAGCGTATAAATGTCAACAGTTCTTGATTTATGTTGCATGCACAATTAATAAGAGAGTTGACGTTTTATGACGTACTTCAACGAATACGAATATGCGCATATCTGAATCTAATGTGCGTTTTTTTTTAATGTTATATATATCGGAAAAATTTCCATACAGCAAGAAAATCATCGCGACATTCTTGCTGGAAGGAAATAATTACAGCCTCATATTGTTATTGTGAATAATAGACGTAACAATTATATATATATATATATATTGTATATATATGTAAAATTTTAGCATCTTTATAATTTTCAAATTTTTAAGAAAAACCCTAAGTAATCATTATGGTTTTGGTGTTTTTTTTAGATCACCACAAACACGCACGGCTATCAGCGGCAATTCCTCTCCGGTAGTTGCCCCATCAGCACTTTCGGTTTCTAATTCTGGTATTGTACCATTGGTTCCGGCTTCAGACGCTGTGAAGGAAAACGTGGGAACGGCGCCAGCCTTGCCATCGCCAGCAGCCATATTGCCGGATCAACCTTGCATTGAAGCTGATGTTAGTTTGACAGCACGCAAAGCTGCTTCCCCGCAACAACTAATCGAGTTTATAAAAATAGTAAAGATCCTTATTGCAGGAAATTAATTAATTCTTCGATACTGAATTTTTTGTTCAATATCTTAAAATAAAGAATCAATAAAAAGAGAAGCAAATGTCTCGTATTACATTTGCATAATGTTTAAAAGCGATGTGGATTGGGTAATTTAAAATGTTATATAATCATTCTTTTATAATTGTTACTTTATATTTATAATTCTTAGAGAAAATAATTAAAAAAATATTATATTTAAAAAATGTTATAGCTCGATGTAAGATACGAAAACAAATTACATGCCACTAAAGGTATATTAAAAAAAAAATATTTTCTCTGTAAATTATAAATATAAAGTTAATAATTAGAAGGCTGATTACATAAAATTTGAAGCTATCCAACCTACATTGCTTTTTATGATAACTTTATATGCAATCTTGCAGGGTGCCCCATGTCTCACCGAATTACCGCCCGACGCAAATGCTACACAGACAACCGCGTGGCTTCGCGCCAGTCGATTCAACGCATTCGAGTCAACATTTGCAAGTTTCTCTGCATCGGATATTTTACGCTTGTCCCGAGAGGATCTCATCCAGATCTGTGGCGTGGCAGACGGCATTCGATTGTTCAACACATTGCATTCTAAGGCTCCAACCCCGAAGCTCACTCTCTATTTCTCATTGGAAAGCAACGGCTCACTTTGGAGAGTCGCCTACCTCGATAGTTTAACGAGCACCGCTCTCACAAACAAGTTGCTCAACGCTCTAAACTTGCCCCACGACCGACTTCACTCAATACTGTTCCTAGGACCACAGGGTATACACGTGTTGGTCACTGACGAGCTGGTAGCGAATATGAAAGACGAGAGTATGTATCTCGTTGAGACTATTAAAGGTAAACTTTATTTTATTGCGATTTTATTCATGATTTTAAAAAGGACAATTTTGGAAAGACTAATAATGCCAATATATTTTTTTTTTCAGATCCAGGTAGCGAGCGTTACAAATTATTAATAAAATCAAAAATAATTTAAATAATTTTTGTAATTCTATTTTGAATCATTTTTATAAATATACAGAATAATCAGAGAAGAAGAGAGAAAGAAAAAACACAAAATTTAATAAATTATTATATGTATATTACTTGAAGAAAAAAATTTGGAAATTATTAACAATTTTTATTAATTAAGAATTTGTAAAAAATTGTTAATAATTATATTAAAATATTTTTTAACATAATTTTTGAATTTACAAGAAATATAACCAAATACAAAAATAAATTACATATAATAAATATGCTGTAATGGACATCAATTATAAATTGAAGCTGGAAATTACAAACTATATTGATCATTGCTTTAATAATAATGTTAATAAACATTTTAAAATTATAAAGAACTTATATTTTTAAGCACTTTTTACCGTTGGCCAAAAATAGGATTCTTTCTCTTATTTAAATAAAACTCATTCAGAAAGCTATCTTTGCATTATGTTTATATATATGTATATATATATATATATATATATTTATGTATATATATATGTAAACATTTCTAAAAGATTTGCGGTATTATAGTTTTATATATAATATTAATTATATCTGTTTGTGCATATCATACTATATTTACAACATAACTGTCGAAACATACTCATATAGTCATATATAAGTTACATATATACAGTAGCACTCAAACTTTTCAAATACCCGACCTTCGAACGTATGCAAATGATACGAATCGAATTTATACTGTGTGAGTTAAAATACTCAATTTTAGACGACTCCTATTTGGAATTATATCTATTAGGAAGAATGTAAAATAACCATATAATCAATTTTGTGATTTATTTAGAAGAGAATATAGTTTATATATAGGGAATATAAAAAAAAAGTCTATTATTCCATCCATTATTGTATACTTATGAATGCTTCCATACTATTTTAATAAGAGCAAGAGATATACATATATAAATAAGATTTTTACATTCACACGATTAGGATGACAATGGGATCGCGTAGCTTCGTATGTGATCAAACTCTTAATTGATCTGATCTTCGATTTGATTCCTCATCCTACATATAGATTTTTAATTTGTAATCTGCACGAAGTAAATCTCTGGCTTTCCAGAGAGGTTGGGCTAGTAACTCATTCCCGAAAATTTAAACAGATAGAGTTACTTTATTAATCAATTAATGCATTTCCTAGGGGACATTTATTGATTAATAAATATTTTTCGAAACCGCGCACAAAACTTAAAATTATTATAACGGAGAAAAAAACAATCATCCTTCATCCCTCCTGTTATTGGACACTAAGAATTAAAAAGCTAAAGGATTCCCAAACTAACGTAGTTTTTTTTGTGCCATTTAAATATTATGGAATATTAAAAATATATTTTTTTAGTTTATTGTAAAATAATTATATCTATAAAAGCGTGCCTTTTCGACTGAATGCAAAAGAACATGTATGGTAAACTTTTTCGATTATCATTTTATAACATTATTGATTATAAATTTTGAAAAATATTTAATATTGTATATTGTATATATATATTATATATGTATGTATTATACTCAGCAAAAATCAGAATGAGAAATGGAAAGATAAGAGAGATTACGTAAAGAAAAGTACGATTTATACATCGTTTTAGTACAATTTATGAAAACGATCGATTTTCGATGTATGTGCCACGCTAAAAATAAGTATAAAATTTTTATTTTGTATATAATTGTTACTGTTTTTGTTGACTTAACAATTTCTGTTTAAATAGTGTGTAGATTCTTTTTTGCTTTTATAAACATTTAACATGTTAATATTGTTAACTAAATGATGTTATTATTGTAAAAAAATTAATAGAATTTATTATATTAACAAGATTTATGTCTTTGTTAATGTGCCAATATAGACGTAATTATTTCAACTATTTGAAATAAGATAGATATAGTAAACGAAAAAGATATGTTCTCATTTTATATTATAATGCTGATATTACCTTACGGGAAGTATGGGCTGTACGGAATGAAATGGGATTTTTATACTAGTACTTTTGAGATTCTGAAATTAAAAAAATTTTCTAAAATATGAAGTTTATAGTTACGATTGTATATAGATATTCGTTATATATTACAATACTAATTTTATACAAACATCAATGCAGCTTATTAAATAGTAGCTAGTGTCTGTTAAATAATACATTAAGATTTTATTAAGAAATATATAGTTTATATGATTGTGCGTTTCCATATAAAGGATATAAAATAATAACACATTTTATAATGCAACAAAAAGTACATTAATTAATCATCGACTACCTAACAAGTGTTATTTTTGTCATGAAAAATCGAACTTGTAAATGGAAACGCTCACTTTTATAGTGTGATATCAATTATGAAGAGTTCAATATATACTATAATTATAAATAAGTATAAATATATGTTATTTGGTAATACAGTTTATTTTTCTGTTATAATTTAACAATTAAAAAATATGTTGACATATTTGAGAACGAAAATGTATATCCCAATTTATATTAATTTTGTTGTATATCTTATACAAGTGTTAAATTAACGAAATGGCTCAATAAATATTTCTTGATGCCAATGTTTTGTTTTTTAAATTAAAAATTAATCCATCTAAGAAAAAGTTTACAAATTGTGAAACATATGTTTCGAATTTATTATAAGAAATCGATCGTCTGTTCGTCAATGAGATTTTTCTATTAAAACATTATTGAATGTAAATGATTGCACGTTATGTTTGCTTTTTTTTCTTTTTCTTCATCTCTGCTTTCTGATGTCTTAGTTTTCTCTTCTCTTCTTGATGTTGTTCTCGTTCTTTCGTGCGCTGATATAATCTGCGCGCAACGATAACTGTGCGAAAACAAAATTATTACTAAATAATGATAATAATTTATTATTATTAATAAATAATAATCTTATAATATTATTATTAATTTATAAGATAAGAATTATTCAATTATCTAAGTTATAGTAAAAATGTCTGATAAAATAGTTATTACAAAAACATTCTCAATTGTTTGAAGATGAAATATAATACAACAGTGTAATAAAAGATAATAGATATATAATTTATATATAATTATGTAACTGTTTCGAAATTTGTCATTAACACTGTATATTTGTTATCTGTATATTTGTTATCACTGTAACTATTTATTGATTATATCTAATTATCTAAATATTAGAATGCAAATTTGCAATGAAAAGAAAGAAGTATATACCGAGCAGAAGTCCCACAATCAATACCGCGAAAATAAACAGAATGTAAGACTGGTACGATGTAAGCCACGTATGCAAAATTGTGTTCTTCGACTTTTGCAAATTCTTTGTTAATACGTCAAAGGCGCCCTTTTGAAACTCCTCTTTTTCCTCATCGCTCATTTGTTGATATCTTTCGACCACTTTCGCAAGTTTTTCTTGCACCTCGTCCGGTATCGTATTGTCATTTTCAAATGGATTCACTAACTGTTCTTCCATATGGAATACAAACGAGCACAAAAACTTAATTCAGAAATAAAAGCAGCAGAGGTCTTTACGAGTGCGGGGTAAAAGTTACACTGATTGGACACGGACAATCAAATTCAGCAATCGAGTGGACTCGATTAGATAAGGAACGTTCAAAATACACTGAGATATGTTAGCTTCTTCGACGAAACGACTTCGTAAACTTAATTCAATTATGCACACTTGGCGAAATGGAAGACTTATTATTGTCTCGTCAATTTACAAATGATAAACGATATTTTAATGTTTGTTGGCTCAATTGGCAAGATAGAAATCATCGGACTAATTGGTGTTATGCATTAACGATTCGTATAAAGACAGATCATCAAGGATATTCGATTATTTAATCGACTTAACTGTTATTCAATATTTACCGAATGTGTGGAAGTGCAAATACACAGGTCGACAGAAATTATACAATTTTTTTCCTTGATGACATTGATTACAAACTGAATAAATTTTTCGGTGTTACATTAATTTTATAATTAATAATGATAAACAATTATTTTAACTTAAATATTTAGTAAATATAGCCTATAAATTAATAGAATAAAGTAATTTAGAATGTACATTCTCTTATTAAAATAACTGTATAATAAATGTATAATTTTTCATTATTTACTCGTTAAGCAATACTAGCAAACGATGGACAAAATTTCAAATCGAGCGAGGGTTAGATATTAATTATAAACTCATTAAAATAATATCACAATTGTGTATATTTTCTGAAGACCTAGACTTGAGAAATTTATTTTATAAAAACATCTTATTACTGCTCGATTTGGACCGAATTTCTTTATAAAATAATTAATCTTTTTACGTGTTTGGGTATGTATTAATTGTATTTACTACATATTTAATAATATTACATGTACGGATATTCTATTAATTATTTTTTTTACCTGAAAATATTTTGATATTAAGAATGAGCTTCTAACTAAAAAAAATGGTACTATTAATTTTTCTCGTATACTAGAAATCAAAGTTAATGAAAATTTTGTAAGATGTTTATTATTGATATTATTGTAAGATATTTATAAAATCAAAAGATTGTGAATAAATACTTGTCTTCATTTTTGTATCATATATATTAACTTTATAGCAAGAAACTGATCAACAAAGATAAAACGTATCTACTGAAACGAAATCGAAAAATTAAATCAGATTAAATATATATATATATATATAAATACAAATAATAAAATAATATCAGATTATATATTTATGTATACAAATCTTTTATACTAAGTAGAGAGTGGGGAACATATATATTTAAATACCTTTAATTTAGCCAACAAATATCTGCGATAACTTATAATCAAAAGGAAAGAAAATAATTGCAGTACAACATATATTTAACATAAATTATTACATAGAAAATTTATGTGAACACACTGGTTAATGTATAATCATAAATAATTGTAACATTTCAGAAAATTTAAATTTTTAGACATATAGATCTTGAAAAATATAAATTTGCAATTAAGCACATTTACAAAATATATACACAGTAGTATATAAACAACTACAAATGTCATATGTGTGTGTATACGAATTTTCAATATTAAAGTCGTACAACTAATGATCTAATTGTTTAGTTTCCTTAGAATATACTATCCGAGGAAGATGTATTATATTTAGATATATCAATATCTAAGGGAGACGTTTTATGATTTTGTTTGACATCTTTTCTTTGACAAAATTCACGAAAAGATATTCGTTTACCATCTTGACCACCATTTTCAAACTCAGTGTCTATTTCATCATATATATCATATATATCATATTTTTGTTTTAATGTAGATTGGACGGCTCTATTAGTTTTTGTTTTTTGGTGGGGTTTTTTAATTTTCTTCTTCTGGTTTCTCATATTCCTTTTGCTAGTCTTTGTCTTGAGTTTGTCATTTTTAAATTCTTCTTGAGAAGAGCTGTCCTGTAAGTTTTCCATTTTTTATCATTTTTATTTCGATATTGAGAAACAGTAAACACATACCATTACTGGAAGAATTGGAGTATTTTTTGTCTTCTTAGGAAGTCTTGGTCTAAAACTCATAAGTTTGATTGGTGACAGCTCGAAAGATAATGTTAAATGCGGAGTAGTTTTTCTAGAATATGTTTTGATAGGCCAATCCCGACGAAATGTTATCGTCGGAGATTGTAAATCAGAAAAGCTAACATTTTTAGATGTTTGTTTAGATTTTATTTCTGGTTTCTGTAACGACACGTGTGCCTTTTTATTGCCTTCATAATCTAAAACAGCAATTTTTTATAATCATATACATATACAATATAATTAATAATTATATACATTTTAAGAGCAGAAAGCACATTATATAAAAAGAATTTAATTGCAAAAATATTTTGGAAATATTAATTAATAACAAGGTAGACCATTTTAATTGAAAATATTAATTAATATAAAAGATAGGCCATTTTAATATCCTTATTTTAATGTTCAGAAATAACGGCTCCCCATGGCAGACATGCAGATAAAGATATGCGTAATAATAAATTACATATAATAAAAGAAATAAATTGACCAACTATATGATTAGAATAAAGATAATAATAAGATAAATATTATTATATATATATTAAGTAAAAATTAATTTAGAACTTTTTGTTAAAAGAATTATTAAATAGTTATTAATAATATACCGAATAGTGTTTCATCTTCAATTGTCTCATCTAGATTTCGTATTTTCGATGGTAACCAATTCATCGGAAATAGTTCATTTTGCAGTATGATGTCATTCTTTTTTGAAACTAAACATGATCTTCTTCTAAAGGATCCTATAATCGGTGATTCCAACAGAATTTCTTCATATGTTTTCGGTGTATCTCGAATTTTTTCCGGTGTACACGGATCTTCAAATAGTTTCATGCGCTCGTCGTCCTTTGAGGTGGATAAAGAACGAATTGATAATTCATTAACTGATTTTTCCGATTCGGTTTCCCATTCACTATCCTTGTCTTTTGTTTGAGTTACAATTAGCTTCTTTTTGACGGACTCTTTTTTGTTCTTTAAATTTTTCTTTCGCTCCTCTGTTATATAAAGAATACATTAGTTTTTATATTATGTATTTTTTATTTATTTAATGTTCAAGAATTTGAAAATTAAAAAATTTCTGTAGAAAATTCTAGGTATATTTTTTCCTAATTTTAATTGATATAAACAAACCATTTAAAGATTGGTTGATTAATTCTGTTCGTTTAGCTTCACATTTGCTGTCAGAGTTTTTCACTATCCGTTTTATGTCTGATCTCTTTTTTTTCTTCAAGTGTCTTTCGTGCTTGTTTGCCAAATCTAAAAATTTATTTAATTATTAATATATATTTTTTTTACAATGTATAACATATTTATTTCAATTTTTTAAAAATTGGAGATATTGGTCTAAAAACTTTTATTTTTTTAAATTTTAATTAACATAAACTATATTTTTAATTGCATAATTTGTTAATTATAATAGTATTATTAAAAAAGAAATTTTTAACTTATTGTAAACTTTAACGACTTAATTTCTATCGAAAAATATTTTATCTATAATAGGAAAAGTTACAAAAGTATAATTATATGTACGTAAGTATCAGGACGTAAGTATGTACGTAAGTATCTATAATAGGAAAAGTTACAAAAGTATAATTATATGTACGTAAGTATAGTGTCTCCCGGCCATGTTCAAAAACTGATTATAATATAGTTTTCCTCACCTCTTAGCTGAAACCGTACATTTCTTGTAATTTTACCTCCACTTGAAGAAGAACCTGTATCAATCTCAGATAAAGATATATTGCCATGCTTTATTATAGATTTAGTTGGTGTACTTGAAAATACATTGGCTATAGTAACACGTTTATTTTTATTTTTATCATATGTGTGAATTATTTGTGACATGTTACTGCAGATCACTAAACGCACAATTAATATGTTGAAACACTTGAAATACTTTCGCAATTAATACTTTTGACTTTGACATCTGTGTTTAGCTCGACGATCCATTCAACATTGAAGTGTATATACACATATATATAACAAGTTGATGGATAGTTTCTCTCAAGGTTTGTATATAAACAAAACCGTGCCCGCAGTCTCCTTCGCCATATTATGAAATAAACATATCGTGATTAAACTGTTATTAAGAAATTATTATTTGACAATCTAATATTTAGATATATCATTTGGAAAGGGGATGAAAATGAAAACACTTTTGATAAGTTTCTTTTTCGAAAATATTTTATCAGAAATTTCTTTTAAAGTATTCATTTATTAATTATACATACAAAAATTTTATAAAAAATATTAATATATTTGCTAGAATTATATGTTATGTGAAATATTGTTTCTACATTTTTTATTCTGAATCACACATTATTCTTCTATAAAATTGTTGATTAGACATGCATTACACATTTTCAGCACTGGCAGTAAATATCGAATGTATATAGTTTTACATTTGAAACGCTTCGAGTACAAATCGAATAATGAATAATCGATTTATCGACTATTCGAATTTGAACCATATTCGATTCGATTCTAAGAATTACGTTCGAATATCGAGTATTCGAGAATATCTCGCATTCTCGCACTCGCAAAACTCGTAGAATTGTTTACAATAGCAATTTCGGGCTTGCCAATTGTGATTAATTTGAGGTTATGTGTTCATTGCCGGTATAAAGGTTATACGTAATAGTGGCATGTCACAGGATGGACGATGAACAAGCTATTATCTATTCCGATCAAGGAAGTTAGTCGGGAGATTTATGGTGGTGCGGTGCGACCATCCGAGATCTGTAAGGCTTCTATTAAGCTGACTTCAATCGTCAAGCCTTTAAACCCTTATATCAACGTGACGAGCGATGTTGCGGGAGAGCAAGCAAACGCCGCCGATGAAAGGCAACAAAGAAATTCGTTACTGGGACAACTCGACGGCATTCCCATTGCCATTAAGGACAACTATTGTGTCAAGGGTAAACCTACGACCTGTGCTTCTCGGATGTTGGCAAACTTCTCTCCGAGCTACAACGCTACCGTCTACGAGAAACTCAGGACGCAGGGAGCTGTCTTGATCGGCAAAACTAATCTCGATGAGTTTGCTATGGGCTCCGGCACTGTAGACTCGCTTTATGGACCAACAAAGAATTTATGGGGCTCAGAAGTGTTGTCTCAATTTTATTCGTGTGGGCCTGACAATTCGCGGGCCACTACAAGGAAACCCCATGAAAAGGATGCATGGCGCATAGCAGGTACATTCCAAAAAATTGTTAGCTATTATTTGTGTATTTTTGTCATTTATCTAATTACTTTGAGGAATATATTATTCAATATACTTCAATTGATTGTAACATAACATTAATATTATCATTTCACACTTAATAATGTGTAAATATATGTAACAGTTACATTGTGGAGTGTAAAATTATAACGTTGATGTTACATTATTGTTAGTTTGTGTTTACTAAGTAGTAATAATTTTTTGAGATAATAAATGCATCTTAGGTGGCAGTAGTGGAGGTTCGGCAGTCGCAGTAGCTACAGGTACCTGTTATGCAGCCTTGGGCTCTGACACTGGTGGTTCTACTCGCAATCCTGCGTCCTATTGCGGTCTAATCGGCTTGAAACCAACTTACGGTTTGGTGTCACGTTATGGTCTTATTCCTCTGCTAAATTCGATGGATGTACCTGGTATTCTCGCGAGAACAGTAGACGATACTGTATTAATTTTAAATGCCATAGCTGGTCCCGACCAAGCAGACCCTACTACTGTACAAAAAAAATATGTTCCAATTAACTTATCCAAAACGATAGATATTAGTAATCTTAGGATTGGGATACCAAAGGAGTATGGGGTACAAGGCATAAGCGAAGAAACTGCAGAATGTTGGGAAAAGGTGTCTTGTCTTTTAAAAGAAGCGGGAGCCAGTGTCGTCCCAGTGTCGTTACCTCACACTGATTACTCTATAGTATGTTATTCTGTTTTAAATCGATGCGACGTAGCTAGCAACTTGGCTTGTTACGACGGTATAGAATACGGTCACAGAGCCGATGAATGGAGTTCAGCTCACGAACTGTACAAGAGAACCAGATCGGAAGGCTTCAATAACGTGGTTAAAGGTCGTATACTAGTCGGGAATTATTTTCTTTTGGCGGAAAACTACGAGAAATATTACGTTAAAGCGATGAAAATGCGCAGATTAATCGCGCAGGACTTTGATGTTTTGTGGAATAGTAATGTAGATCTCCTGCTGACTCCGACTACGTTGACCGAAGCTCCTAGTTATGACGAATTTGTACAGCTGGACAATCAGACACAGTGCTTAATTCAGGATCACTGTACGCAACCCGCGAACATGGCTGGTTTGCCCGCGATCAATATACCAATCAAACTCTCTCGCAATGGGTTACCTTTGTCCTTGCAATTAATGGCACCGCTTTTTCACGAACAGAGGCTGCTTACCGTGGCAAAGTGGATCGAACAGATGGTGCAATTTCCGAGACTCGAATTGAAGAATTCATGTTTGCTTGAATAAAACCACTTTTTACAAACATTGGTACATTTTCTTTGTTTTATTAATTTTGCATTCTTTCAAATTTGCAACATTATTCATATATGTCACGTTAGATTGATCTGTTACGATTTCATACGTACTGCCAGCTTATACAATCGGATTTCATGTATGCACCCTTGGGTATTACGTATACAATTAGAACGAAAATTAGTATATAGATTTCCTTGCGTAGCGCAACGGCGCGGCGCGTAGCGTAGCCCTGAGGCCATGCAATGCAAACAAGTTACACTGAGTTACACCCCCGTATACCATCGAGCGTATCTGAAATTCTATTCGTCGAGTAATAGCGTTTGCTTTTGCAACCAAACGACCCTCGTCGCGTTTTGCCGCGCTGCGCCCTAATATTCATTATACACAAAGATGAAATTGTGGTCCTCTTCACCGTAAGACCAATTCTTCGAAAAAAAGGTGAAGGAAAAACTTTTCGAAGTAAATACATGTAATTGAAAAAGTAATTTTTCATTAAGTTTTTATTTTTGAAGACAATGCAGCTCTTTTAATGTCCAATTTTTGCACTTCGTATTTACTTTCCATCTCGGTCTCGGTTTTCTGATATCATATATTCTTATTTTCATTGCGAGTTGCCGAGGCTTGCATGATGAAACTCTGACATTTCGAAATTAATTATCTCCCAGGGACCTGAGGGCGATTTGAGCAGGAAACAAACAACTGATAATATGCGCGTGCAAATTCACGTAATTGACGTCTTCGATAATTAGATTGTAACATTTCAGTATAATCTATTGGTTTATATTAAATTAAAAAATAAAACAATTTCTAATATATATAAATCACTCAATTACGTTTTATTGTTACGAAACTTAATAATATATAAAAAGCTGCACAATTATAAAAAAAAATTGTAGATTGACATAAATTCAGAATTAAATATTATATAATTTATATGAGAATAAATACTATGAAGGGGGGGGGGGGAGTTTTATTGTTACGAAACTTAATAATATATAAAAAGCTGCACAATTATAAAAAAAAATTGTAGATTGACATAAATTCAGAATTAAATATTATATAATTTATATGAGAAAAAATACTATGAAGGGGGGGGGGGATAAGTAAATTACTAGTCAACTTACATTTTTTTTAACAAACGTAGATGACGTTTGAAATAGCAAGGGCAAGGTTCATTTCGAGACAAGTATATTTTCCTATCTCGAAATGAACCTTTGCCTTCCTTATTTCAAACGTCATCTACTTATATTATTCGTTGAAAAGTTAAAGAAACGAGAAGACATTCAACATTTCTGCACTGAATACTAAATGGTATTCATACGTATCTTTTTTTTTCTTTTTACAATTCTGCGCGATATCGGTCTCCGAGTTTTAAGGAAATAGTTCAAAAGAACAGAAATAATGTATTCTGTCCGTATATATTATTTCGTTCTCTGGTAATAGCGGTGCAAGTGATGTCGGATCGTGCATATATTCGGACGTTCCTATTCAGACGCGTGCTGTCTAATTTTGTATTCTCTTTTCTTGCTATATTACGTAATTCCGGTTCTTATCGGTGCATAAAACTAGGTTGGCTACAAAACCACGAGAAATGAGACGATTATGCATTTCGTCAAAGAGAAACCGAATCCTAAGTCTTCGTTGCTCATTGCAGCATCTCGCTATCATATCATTATCATATTGTATTAAATGTAAAAAGTTTTTAAATCATTCTCTGAATGTTGAAATATATAACTTTATGATGAAAATTTCTATTATATTATTTTTTGAACTGTTAAATTGTTTCCCAATCCATCCATTTTCCTGTGGATAAAATTAACACGAATACGTTATAAACGGCTAATGCTCGAATATGATGAACTGGATTACATCATGTACAAAGCTGTGTAATTAATGACAGAGGAAATAATATATCTAAGTACCGTGCCCAAGTAAAGCCACGCTCGTATTACACACTTTAATCCAGACTCATAAAGCTTTGCGGGAACCATCGGTGAGAGCCATACTTTAGAACATCAAACGCGCTCTCGGCAATCATTCTCCTTTGAGTATAAAAATGAAGGCTTTGTGATTGATGCACACACACACACACACACACAACCCTCGACTCCAGCCTGATTCCTTCGCATGTTGTTTCACTACCTCGATTAGAGCTCGTCGTAAATCCTTGACTAATATTCTCTGTCCAAAAACGCGATTCTCGGCTGTTCTACGCGTTCATTAATCTTGTTTGTGCAGTTTTATATTGGTGCAGCAACAATAACGGTGAAAGGAGAAGGAAATAATTACGCATGAGAGAGTTATTAAAACTTTTTTTTATCTTTTCCTGCCCTTCTTTTTTCGTGCAATTATCCTGCGTGATACATTTTTATGACTCGACTAGTATTACGAAGAAAGTTGGAGCTGCTTCTGAAACAAAATTTACGTTAATGAAATAATTTTTATATAAAGAAAAAGTAATTTATTATGTCAGAATTATTCGTAATTTAACGTAAAAATCGTAAATATAATTGAATTTTAAAAAATCAGGCAGAGTTGAATAAGACGAAGGGCTCATAATTAAAATTTCACAATTTCAAATGTGATTATTATCGATTATTAGCGAATCGTCATGTTGTTCCGCAGTCAATTAACATCTGCTTGTTCAAGTGCAAATGATATACAATGCGCGGCTAATGGAACTTGAATTTCGAGAACACGCGCGCGATCTTCCGATTTATGACTAATCGAAATCGAATCCTACTTTCATATAGTTAGTAGTGGAACATACATTTAAAGACATTCTTTCATGCTCTTACAGAAAGTTTATGCTGGAAGGTAGTGATTAATTACTTATTTTGAGTATTAAGAGCATTGTTGTTTAGTATTTTTAATCGTCTCTCTGCAATCTGAATAATTTTTAGCGTAAGTAAAAGTTTACTTTTTTTCTTTAAAATTATAAAAGAGGATGGAATCTAAGAACCTCTTTTAAGATATCTTTTTCATAAACTATTACAATGTAATAATGATGTTAAAAAATAGCTTTGGTTTTCTTCTACATTTTTTAAAAGTCTTGAATAATAAAAAAATTGTTTTAATAGAGAGGAGTAAAAATACGTTGCAGACGGAAAATTAATACTCTAAATAAGTAATTAATCACTATCTGTCTGTATTAAATTGGATTTTGTAAGAATATTAGATCTTTATACGATAAAAGCCATCACGTAATCTTTGGGAAACACTGAAATATTTTCCAAAAATTATGGAAGTTGTAACAAGAAAATTTTTATCAATACTAATTAGTAAAATCCTCTCTCACATTACCTATTCTGCAGTTAAAGTCAAACTAATGTTTAACGATAAGTTTTAGAATCTCAATTGCAATGTTCTGACAAATGTTCTAGTCATTTTCGTGAAATGTCAAAAACAAACCTTTTTAGAATATCTGAAGAGTTACGGTTGCATCTAATGAGCTTTCAAGAGAACAGGATACATGGGTGATATCAAGTTCGATCGTATCTTATGGTCCTTTGATAATCCTTTGGATGACTGCATTTGCAGTCATTATATATTGATAATAAACCTCAATTGTATAGCTCCTGCGAAGCAGATAAGAGACAGGGAGATAAACGGATTGAACAAGCCAAATTGACTTCTACCTCGAGCAATTTATTTTCTAAATTTAAGGAGATATTACAATCTCTCTTTCTTTTAAAGGAGCGTTACATGGAAACTTTATGTGTAAGCGTATTTGTTTTTATACAATTAAAAATCTCATATATTTTTGTGAATTTAATTTAGAAACCAATTTTAAAGTAAACATGATATTGCATATCAATTACAATATTTAGAAATCAAATTTAGTTTAAATTTGATAGACACTTTAATAAACTCATATTATCCAAATAAAAGATATAATCACTTTTTAAAATTAGTGTTTGCATATAATTATATATATATTTCATTAATTACATTTCTACGATCACTTTTTCTCTCTCTTAATTGAATTCTACAGAAGTTTTCCCCAGGAGAACAAATCTCTACAATTGCATTTTTGAGAAACCCTTAGGAATACATCGCGATAGTTATAGGAACGAGGAAGCGGTAGAAAGAGATGATTATAGCTGCAGCTTGCGGAAAGTTTTTAGGCAAACAAGTGTCGCCGGGGTGATCTTATACACGGTATCCTCGTCGCATTGTGCAAGCTCGCTCTCACCTTCGCGGCACAGAAACGTCAAGGATCTGCCATCTCGGATGACAGAACGGTATAACTTAGAATGAAATGGAAGGAAAAAGGCAAGCGGCTGGTTACGTACGCGAGAGGGTGGCCGTCTCTGGGAAAACAGGGTTGGGCACAGGGTGGTGAGGACGCATGCGTCAGACCCGGCCGTCGGGGGCTGTCGTGTCGCTCTCTGTCGTCGGTTACGCCAGTCGTCGTGACGACTTCGAGCCGTCGTCGTCAATAACGTCGTGTTTTCAAATCGTCGCCGCGCGCCCACGCATCCTCATCGAATTTTCTCTTTCTCTCTCTCTCTCTCTCTCTCTCTCTCTTTCTCTCTCTCCCTCTCTTTCTACTCTTTTTTTCTCTCTCGATTTTCCTCTTCTTTTTCTCTCTCTCTCCCTTTTTCTCTCTTTCTCTCGTATTTAATTTCTTCCCGTCATACTGTCCGCCGTAATTCGCTCACTCGTTCACTTGCTGCGCGCGCGCCAGTCGAGAATGTCGCGGCGCTTGCACCGCACTTCAAATCGCTGGCAAGTTCGCGCCGCGGGTGTCGTCCGCCGCGAACGTCATCGCGGATGAGCATTTCCGTGTGTGTGCCCGGCAATGGTCGATGGGGGATCGTACGCGGGTGATCTTGCGCGACTCGCGCGGTGGTGCGACGGAGTGACCTACGCCGGACCGTATATATAAATCGCGTCCTTCGCGACCGCCGAAATCGGTCGGCGCAGACTTGGACAGGTGCGCGAGTGACCGCGGCACCCCTCCTCCTCCCGCCGTTTATCACCGTCGGTTGCGCGCAACCACCCCCGCAGAGGTGCTTCGTGATTGCACTCCGCGTCGCGACAAGTGGATGGACCTTGGATCGCCCGATACCGCAAGTGAGTGTAATAGATACATAAGTGTAGCTAAAAAGAGAGCGAAAAATGGATTAATATATTTTAAGTAATTTAAGAACTAAAGGCGCATTTTTCAAGTACTAGAGGAAAAGTCTTTTGTTGCATTAATTAGAATTTAGATAAATTCAACCAGGGAGTGACAATTATTAGACATTTATAGTAAAATCTATCAAACATTTGAATTGAGCTTGCCAAAAATTCAATTGCGACAGTTAGATTTCTGATTCATGATCACAATTTGTTTCGTTTGTGTTTTTTTATTCGTACAACGGAACTAGAATTCTTTTCAGTGAGAGTTTTCCTCTCTGAGCAAAACGGATTATGATGTTATCAAAGTGACATTAAAATAAATCGTAGCTAATTAATGAGTAACTTTTAACGATTATTTTGGAGTTATTTTGATGTCATGATGAGTTTTTGTACTGTTTGCACGGAAAGAAGTATTTTACTAAAATATTTTAAAATTGAGTTAAATATAGTACAGATCTGAAAATTAATTTTGTTGGACCATTAAAATAATTATATTTATATACTATAGAATGCTCTAATTGGTTAGGTTTCTTAATTGCACTAGTAGATTGTTAAAATTTTTTGCAGCATTGCTCATGAAATTATTTTAATAGTCCAGTCAAATTGATCAATTTTAGATCTGTATGTCCAACTAAATTTTTATATCAACAAAATTGTTCTTTCCATGTGGGTCTGATGAACAAAAACATCGTGCATTAAAAGTAAAAAACAGAGGCCTATAAACGAGCTAATTAAAATGTATATTTAATAATAATCTTTAATTACATACCGATAAATGGGATGTGCTTTGCCTTTTACTTTTTTACTTTTATAATGAATATGCAGTTTGCAATAATAGAGTGAAATTATATGTGTTTATCGGACAAGATTGCGGTATCTGTCTCAAAGGAACATGATTAACATGAAGTACTTCCGTTAAATTTTATGAAATTAAGGAGCTGACGAAACAGGATCATGCAGGAACTCTGCTCGGAATTTCCAGAGTTGAATATTATGCACTGTTTCTTGTGAAGGAAATGAAAGACCGAAAGATTATATATTGGACGTATTGCGCCGAATCGATATCGTATTTCCGTAACATATGGTATGCAGTGGAAATGGAATAGTTTAAAATACAAATCTGTTATCCAGATAAATCGTAGTCAGATAGATTGCTGTCGTATGAATACGCCAAGTTTTTCAATGAACGAGAAACTTTTTCGAAAGTGTACGACAAGTAAGGATATTTTTCTCCGCAGGGAATTTTTCTTTCAGACCGATATTTCCTCAACTCGTTCGTACGGTCAAATAGGTTATTTTGAGTAATTTCAAGACGCGATTCCGCAATATTATAGGTTGTAGAGATAGCAATACATATATAGGATGTTTTACACTGACAATAAGAGAAGAAAGTGTGATTGCAATATTATCATAATTTAACTATAACTTAGAGTCATTTCTCATATAAATGGAATTTGAATTATTAATATATAAAATTAAGATGTTCTTCAAGTGTATTCGTTGAGTTATCGTTGTACAATTAATATGATTTATAATTATATAATTTTTAATGAAACAATAAACATATTTATTATTACTAATAAAAATGATTATAAAAATAGAGCTTTTACGGTATAAACAACCACTACAATTATTATTTTATCTTACAATTATAATCATAAATATCAAACATTTTCCTCGTAATCGTTATATGTACAACATTCACTAAATAACACTTGATTATTTATAACAAATTCTCTATTCTGATAATGGCTAATAAAACTAATACAATATGTAATTATTACAAACAAAATATGTGACGTAAAATATTATAATTATAACTTTTATTATCGCAATTACATAATAGAATTTTACATTAATAAGATCATTTAATTATAATAATTGTATTTACGTTGGACATATAGTTGGGGACATGTTGCAAACGTTAAAACGCCATAAGCTGTGATATAAAAGGAATCATCTGCATAAACTCGACCGGACAGTGACTCGTTGCAATGCGATATCGTCGGCAGTTTAACACCGTTGTACTTTAGTTGTTGCAGTTCTCGCGGCTACAACGTCATTTCCTTTTTCCGCCTAACATTGGGTCGTCTACGTTACTCCATTAGACAAGTAAACAGGATTGTGTGGATAACGGACTTCACAGTACTTTTCACGGTGTTGTACTGAAAACACGCACGCGGAGAACATCGCGCCTTTCGTTCTTGCGCGCGACGTAAAAGGAAATATATATTGCTGCAACGTCTGTCTGCTCTGCCAGTTTGCATCTTTGTCGATACATCGCGTGACGTGAAACCGTCGACGTCTCCTCCATTTATTCAGATCCGCACATTGAAAAATATACTGAATAAACGGAATAAGTGTAGACAATGTGAGAAGATGAAACAATAGGAAAACCTTGGCCATATTTAATTTTCAACGAGACCTCGTCTTTTATCCTCTCTATTTTCCTTTCCTCTCCTCATTTTATTTCCGTTTTTCATCGTGTAGAGCCTTTATGTCGCACCCTCTATATTTGATGCTTTAGTATCGGATTACCATTCTATGCTAGTTCGTTTACAAGGTACATCCAGGGAAAACATGTAGCTTATTAGGGAAGAGCTACCGCACGTTCGGTTCATTGATCATCTAGTCGATCCTTACTGTTCTCTTTAGGCGAATTATGCTAATTAGTTTGCTCTGTGGCGAGTCGTCGCGTCGTAAAATACGCTCCTCGCGCTAGGAATTACTTTAAGTTTCTCTCGTTTCTCTTTATCTCTCGTTTATCTTTTCCTGCAATATTTTTCGTCCTATTTTGGAAGAATACTGATCGGTTCACGCAATACGCAAAGATATAAAATTTTGAGAGAAAGTTGAAATGTTCGCGACTTTAATATCTTTAGCCGTACTCGAGACTGTCTCACGATTTATCATATTTTTATCTATCTTTGTTAAAATTACCGCAAATTTTTTATTCAATTAAATGACAGCGTATCGAATGCAAATAATTAGTACATTACATTGATAATTAAAGTAAACAGAACGACATGTCACAATAACGTCAAAATGACATTAAAATAGATTGTGATTGATCGAGAAATAACTTTTAATGATTTAAAGTCAACGACTCTTCATTCTGCTTGGAAGCTCTTACCGTTAGATTCATTAATAGATTAATAGATTGTATTATATGGAATTGCAATACTCGAGATTGAAAGTATTCTGAAAATATTCTGTTCTATGGTAATCAATATTCATATTTCTTTGTGCATTTATACCATTTGAAAGTTCCGTGTATTATATCTATACGGAATAAATACATTTGTTATATTGGATGCTTCAAGTCTGATACGTGCACATCCATGACGCAGTTCCGCACGATAAGAAAATTCATTACGCTTCGGAAAATTCCGCGTTACGCGAATAACATTATACAGAAAAAGGATGGCGGCAAGTTCATGATAACGAAGCGTCGAAGACCGGTTAGAGGGCTAATTTTATTATCGAGAACAGCCAGTAAATTATGTTCTTATTCCATATTACGATTAACTCCTTCCTTTCGTTAATTCAGTCGATCGCCGTTTAAAGCGTGTTACTGACTTTTTTCTCCATCATTTCATGCTCATTTAGCATCGTAATTGATACAGCTTTCTCGATCATTATAGTGTGTTAAGATACTTTATTGAAAACCTTAAATAAAATGGTGATGAGATGAAGAATGACAGATCTTTTTTATTACTTAAATTTTTTATTTAATTTATTTAAAATACACAGAAAAAAGAGAACGGTTTTGCTGAAGCATTTTTAAATTTAGCTAAGTACAAATCTGAAAATAATTTTATTGGATTATTAAAATAATTATATATAGGAGACGTTTGAATAGGGACTGCTAGAATGTCAAAATTTTTTTACAGTATTGCTCATTGTGCTTCAGATTTCTGTGTAACTGCTTAACAAAATTATTTTTAGATTTGTGTCTACTTAATCTTTAGATGCATCAGCAAATCGTTCCCCCGTATACACAACATAATATTTAATAAAAGGCAATGTATATAAATGTAAAATATATTGGAGCTAAAATATACCCAAAGAATTTTAACTTTAATTTCTACAATAAACAACGTGGAGAGAAAGAGAGAGAGAGAGAGAGAGAGAGAGAGAGAGAGAGAGAGAGAGAGAGAGAGATATCTCAAAATTGGC